AACATCGAATGGAAACAATACATTCAACACATCTCGACCCATCAAGAAAACAAGAAGAAGACAATTATGGTCAAATGGTCGACGACCAAAAAGGTATTTTAAAATTAATAAGTGAAGGAAAAGAAGTTATAATAACTTTAAAAATGTGTAAAAATGACGCTGAGTTAGTGCTCCAACATCAAGAAGTCAAGAAAATAAGAAAAATGGACTAACTCATCAACAAGAGTCAATCCAAATAGCAAATCATCCAACAGTGAATTTGCCTCAATTACCACTTCCCACATTCAGTGGTAACCCAAAATTATGGAGAGGATTCTGGAATAGTTTTGATGCCGCAGTGCATCTACAAAACATTTCAGATATACAAAAACTAAACTACTTTATAGCATGTCTGAAGGAATTATGACGTTATAAGAAAGGTTCTGGTTGAAAAATATGGGCAATTACATACGATCAAAAAATCGCTATATAGCGAATTACATTCCATCAAGAAAAATAACAAAGAAGGAAGGTAACAGTCGAAGAAAATGAAGGAATACTCTGACAACTAGAAGTTATAGGCGAGAACAGTCAAGTATCGAGATCGTAATCGAAAGCAGATTGCCGGCTTGGATTTTAGATAAAAATCTATCGATAGAAAGAACAAGAATCATGGTCTGTCAACAAACTTAGATAGTTCCTTGGAAAACTCGTACTAAAAAATGAAGAAGTGTCCAGAAGCCAGTCTCTGAATACCAAAAAGAAGCAAATCCTGACTAAAAGTAAGTCAACATCTTACTTACAACATAATCCAGCTTCAGCCGTAATTATACCAAAAGCTAATGACACCCAATCAAAGTCAGAAAAGGCGAGTAAAACAAGAAGACCATGTTCCTTTTGTAACAGTGATCATTGGAATAACGAATGCCAATTTTATCTCACCCTAAAACAGTGACTAGAAAGATTGAAGAAAGAAATCGCTTGCCTAAATTGCTTGCAAACTGGACATGCTACCACCAAATGTAACAGAAGAAAGCGTACATGCTTTCACTGTAAAGATCCTCACAGCACCGCGTTCTGTCAAGTTCACATAAATAACAAACCGTCAAGGCAGTCAATATGCTAAGTGGAACGTGAAGTAACGTAAATAAAAAGGTTTGCTTCCCTGTAGAAAGGTAAGTAATGAACCTGAATAATGCAGAAACAACGGAAAGAACCATCATTCTGTTCGATGATGGCGCTCAACTAAACTGCATGGAGGAAATTGGATATGACAAGATGAGGATTGCCCCATTCGCCGATGAAAATCCAAAACTATCCACTGTGGCAAGGGCACCGCTCGGAATAAAAACCATAGAAAACGAATTGTACCCATAGTAAACCGTCTTACAAACCAGTGCAGATAGTTACAATAAGTCAGTACGACATACCATTCATATCGAATTTTTACTAAATGAGATAGATGAAGATTGCAGATAACCTGACTTACTCATCAGAATTGACAATTTCTTCAGCTTCACCCAAGTGGAGAAAGCACAAATCATTGAATCAGGATTCACCTTGATATACTCAGTAGTTGGCCTAATGATAGCAGGAAGTAGATACTTATATAAATTTTCTGAAATCATCATTAACCAACTATCGGTGTCAGATGAAGCAATACCCTACCACGTATATCAGAGCACGGATACAAGCACAAACGTGTCGGGAGATATGTCGGAAGATGAGGAAATAGCCATGCTTATCAATATTAAATTTCCAGATATAGATCGATTCTGGAAATTAGAGTTTATAGGCATACAAGAAAACCCAATCTTCATGATAATGAACAAGTATTGGAGAAGTTTAAAGAAAATATCTTTAAAGTCAACGGAAAATATCAAGTAGCTTGGCCATTATCAAAGGACAAACTAAAGAAAAGAATCAAAGGAATCGAAGGGAAAGAATCAAAGGACAAACTAACGGACAAATTAACGGTCAATTTTGGACTGTGTTTCCGCCGTCTAATCAACTCAATGGGAGACTATTACACAAGTACGACGAAACGATCCAAAAATAATTACGGTCCAACGTCATCGAAAAAATGCGTTCAGAAATGGACCAGATTGTATTATCCATTACTTACCTCATCATGAAGTCTTACAATCAAGTAAGACAAAAACCAAACTGAGAATTGTATACGATGCATCATTCCACACCAAAGGAGATAAAGAGTTTGAGTGATGTTTTACACCGCGGGACGATAAATCTCCCTAATCTGATAAGGATACTGCTCCGTTTCCGGTAATAGCAGCGGATATTGAAAAGGCATTTTTATAATTGGAATTACTTCTAACGGAAAGAAATTGTATTCGATTCCTGTGGTTAAAGGACATCACAGGAGAGCTAATAGAAGATAACATCGAATGTTACCGATTCCAACGAGTTCCATTCGGAGTAATATCCTTCTCCTTTTTACTATCAGCCACTTTGAATTATCTTTTTTTTTCAAAAACAAGAAGAGCAACTTGCTCTCGAAATCAAGAAGAACCTTTATATTGATAACGTAATAATATTTTAAGAATGCTTCGTTGGAAATCAATGAAGCATTCTTAAAATATAAGGAAATGAAAAACATATTTCAGTATGCTTCAATAAATATTTCCTTTCAAACGATAAGGGATTTAATCAAATTATTCCTCAACAAGACCGAGCGGAAATCAACCAATCTAAAAAAAATTCTTGGTATCAATAGGATCCTAATATCAATCGCATAAAAATAAGGTTGAAGCCCTGGAAAGAACAAGAACCAAGAAGAAGAACGATCTTGTAATTCATGGCTTCACAATACGATCCCTTAGGATTCCTAACATCAAATATGATACCAATAAAACTATTTATTCAAAACCTATGGAAAAGGAGAACAGAGTGGGATTAATCATTAAACGATGAAGACAATAGGCATGGGAAGAACTTATAAGCGCATGGCCAAATCATGTGAAGGATTTACCACGTGTTACAGTTATCCCATTGAAAAAAACAACAATTCATGTCTTCACCGATGCTTCATCAGTCGCATATGCAGCTGCCGTAACATAAGGAACGGAAGCTCACTTGATATTTGCCAAATCTCGAATTGCTCCTGTAAAAGACATGACTATTCCCGGATTAGAACTACTAGCCATACTTATAGGAGTACGATCTATGTAATTCGTTAAAAAGCAAATGGAATTGGAAAATGCAAAGATCATTCTATGTCAGATTCCAGATGGCATTGCACCGGATACAAAATCACTCTCCTCTACTACGAGATTCATACAAAATAGAGCCGAGGAGATACGAAACTCCAGATCTTCATTTCGTTATATTCCGGCTGAAAACAACCTCGCTTATCAGAGGAATAACTCCCACCAAACTCGAAGAACATGAATCATGGTGGAGAGGACCTTACTGGTTAATAAAAGAAGAATCAGAATGGCCAACATGGGAATATAACTAAAATATATCTTCATTTAGTTTTTGTATGAGGAATTTCTCATGAGAATATATTTCACGTTGGAACTGCGCATATTACTGTGGAATTAAGGACCAGTTTTTGAATACCAAACAGCAGAACAGAGGTCAAGAAGGTATTAAACAGATATATGGGTTGTTTTGAGACAGATAGGACCTAGATAGTCTAGGTCCCATCTCCCTTGAAATCATAACAGGAATAGCAAAAGCTTTGATCGCCTTATTTCCTTCTTCACTACCGGAGCGGCTCATCTTGCATTAGTAGACGATCTATCTGCTCAGAGCTTTCTGCATGTCCTCAGAAGATTCGTAGCTCGACGCGGTTATCCCGAACTAGTACTAAGCGACAAGGCCAGTTACTTTCAGTTAGTTTTCCAAACTATCATGGAACAAGAAACAATTCCTCAGTAAAACAGAGATGAAATGAAAGAATATACCAAAGACTCCTTGGAGCGGAGGAATTCATGAATGGATAATCGGTCTAATTAAGAGGACATTAAGAAGAGCGACAGGCACAAAGTTAGTAACGGAGAGGGATACGAAAGATCTTGGTGGAATAACAAAGTATTCTTAATACCCGTCCAGTAACCTCTGTAAACTTGAACAACCTCATAATCCCACGACCAATCGGTTTTATAACCCCTGACGCTTCCCTGCCAATACCCATCAATGAGTAGCGCGACCGAGACGAGTACGTTCCTTACTAGCTAAATTGCCAAGAACTCAATTACTGGTCGAATACAACAAAATACTCAACAGTTTTGGAAATGTGGAAGAACGAATATTTTGTTAGCTTATGAGGACTTGGTGACCACAGTCGGAGCACAGGTCACCAAGAAGTGTAGAAAAAAGGGCTCCCGTCGAAGGAGAAGTCGTTCCGATCAATGAACAGAATGGGTTGATGGAAACTTGTCCGAATAGAAAAACTCAATATAAGTCGAGACAAAAGAATACGAAGTCTCTGATCAAACTACCAAGTCAGAAACTTGTCAATCGACTATAAATCTTCTATATCTATTAGAAGTAGGGCAAGAAAAAAGCACAACCTCTGATTCAGCGGCTACAAGAAAACAACGAACTTCAATCATGGAAATTAGAGAACCTGTAGCGAGACGAACTCGGAGTGCTACAAGAAAAAAGGAAATTATCACCATTCTCATGAATTTAACACAAAACCATTCTCATGAATTTAACACAAAACTATTCTCATGAATTCAACACAAACTCCTCTAATTAATAAACCAAAAAGGATAGCTTTCATATTCTTCCCCCTCAAGGTATTAATTCTTTCAATCTGGAATGTCGGAAATTAACCATAATACCATATATGAAATTAATCCACAATACAAAATTATCAAATTAAATTCATGAGAAATATTTCTCAGTAAAATATATAAAACAATTTTGTCATTGTTAAATTCAATTTCTTGTCACACGACTTCTTTGTAATTCATTAAGAGATTGCTTTGCAAGCCTTTGTCCTTCAATTGTTCTTTGTCTTTTATGTGAAACAAATGTAGCTAACAAGTAATCAAACAGTCCCCTTTGTCCTCATCGCTTCTTCCTTCCCCAACATGACATTGTTTGACCCCGGGGTTATCTATTAAGCCCATTATCTACTATACTGGTACCGCCCCACATTGGACATATAACAGTCAAAATAGTAGAATTTTTGCTGAGAAATGTAAAATCTGTTAAGTTGTTTACCGGATTGTTCTGCAGTGACGAAAAAATTCGCAAATCGAAAAACAATTGCGCTAAAAGTCGCAGCCAGAAAACCACGCCAATAATTTTTTACAGCAAAATATTTCGATGTGGATTCTATTGCATACAACACTGCTACAAAAAATTTTGCTACTGAAATAACAAGTGAAATTTCGCGAACAATTAGTATGCTGCTGCGTACTTCAATGACAAATTTCAATATGGAATCGAAAATCAAACTGATTCATATTATCTACATATTAAAATTAATTAAAAAGGAAAAAATCACCTCCTACAGGTGCTGAAAATGTACATGCAATGCCAACAGCACAACCGGAAGAAAGCATTTCCATTTCTCGACCTTCATTTGAAAAAAATTCCGTGTAATGGCAACTGGTAGTTACTTTACTCAAAATAGTTGCTACAATTGCACCCATATGTACAAATGGTCCCTGAATGTTTGTATCTACAGATCACGAACTTATACATTTGAAAAGGTGGAATTGAATTTTAAACATTAAAATTTTAGAAGTTTAAGACTAGAAATTTAGGAACGCTGAGGATTCAAATTCAGCAAATCATCAACTGAAAAACTAGCGCTCTTTAAATGAATGTGATCCAGAAATATCCTGTTGGCATTGTTATTGTTCGAAATGATTTCTTAACTAGGAGAATAGTTTTGGGCAGCTGAATAAAAGTTTTTTTTATTTTAGAAAATAATAAACTTCTTTTCCGATTGGTAGGCCACTGCCAATTGCTAACGTTAATCCAATCATTTTTGCAATGAGTGTCCGAACAGTAAGATAATTTTCCATTTTAAATCCATGCATTATTACTTTAACTTCTGGTATGCCTGAACCTAAATAGACAGAAAATTAGTTCAATATTATAAAGATTTCAAAAAATGCAGAAATTAATTGTGAAATCCAAAGTGAGGCGAATAATTTACTTTTAAATACTACCTTTGTTGGAGTTTCTGTAATATTTCCTATTCAAGAATAAAATTTCTTTATCTACTTCTTAATTTAGTCTAATCCGCTAAAATCTACGAAAATTTAATCAGTCAAAATTAAATCAAGGAATAAATTAATTTACTTCGCCATTCAATAAATTTGAAAAGTTTGAATAAACAAATAAACAAACCAACAGCTTGCTTGGAAATCCATAAGCAAGCAGCAGCCGAAAGAAATGTCAATAAAACAACATGTAAAAGCCAATGTAACAAAGCCAAATAATGGTGCCAATGTATTCGAAGAGTCTCGTAGAAAGCCACATGGCCTTTTATTTGATAAATGGAATAAATTTATGTAAATGGAATTTTTAATATATTTTAAACTTAAATTTTAATCACTTTGAAAAATTAAACAGTTAGCTTCTTTCTGCTATCTCACAGTTACGGTTTAATTTTTCATTAAATTTGATGACGTGTATAAAAAATGTATGAAATTTTACAATGTTGTAATTTCTCGATGCAAATATCCATAACAACGGATAAAATGGCCGTTATAATGCCAAGCATCGCTGACAGACACCAATCTTCCACTAAGAAATACAAAACATTTCTCATTTGTCCTAAAATAATGCTCAGTTGAAGATCTATCAGATGCATTATAAGTTTATTGTAGAAAAATTGGAATGATTGTAATATAAACTTTTTGAATTAAAAAATAATGAATTTCAATTTTTTAATATCAATATTTAATAGGAAAAGTGTTTACTTTTGCAGAAATCAGTAAACGATTCTTTACTGTGTTGTTCGTTTGCATCCAATTCGATATCCGCCTCATCTCCATCTCTTACAACGACAACTTCAGCGCCTTCCAGCAATGAACTTTTCACATTAATCATAGCGTTGCCCAAAAACACAAAAAAAAGATTGGCAATTTTATTTGAAGTTTACAATAGAATGGGTGCAAGAAACGAATGCAGAAATTATGAAATTTTGAATGATAGCAGAATCGATTAATTTTCTGGAGAAGATCATATTGAAACTTCTCTCTGTTCAAAATGATAGACCGAATATTACTGATGGCGGGACACAAGTAAAGGCAAACATTAACGATTCAAAAGTTTTTCATTTCATAGGTAAATCATTCAAACACATAAATCCAATTAAAAAAGTATTTTGTACAGAAAAAATGTAACCGTGGTATTTTGATGCCAAAATCTGACTAATACATTTAAATTTAAAAAAAAAAAACATTCATTTCGCCATTTCACACCTTCTGATCTATAAAATGATAAGAAATTTCACCGAAAATAAATAAGACATAATTAAAGGAAAAACGATAAAGATGTGATTCATAAGAAATTTTAAAGCTGGAACTAATAATTTAATGGAGCGGAATTGTTTGTACAGTTTTTGAACATTAAACATTTTTCAATTTCTAATTTAATTTTTGGTGTTAAATTGAAGTAATTATCATTTTATCGCCACCAATTTAAATTAGTGGTGTACTATATCACTTACAGCTTCATGCGAACATGTATTTTCTGAATAATACCAAAAAATGTTTCATTAGAGAAATGAAGTTCAAGTTGTATACTTTTGTAATTATTATGAGAGATACCGAAAAAAGAGAGAAAAGCAACAAAATGACTGTATAAAATTTTTAAAATTCAATATATTTTTCATTATCACGGAGATACTTATTTGCATTCAATGTTTTATTGTTAACTTTTTCTCATTGAAGAAAAAATCAATAGTGAAGTGATATATTGAAAAGATCAAAAGTTCTTCTCGCTCAAAATAATTTATTCAAACTTTGATTAGCACAGAAATTTATAACTATCAAAGCGAAATAACAGCAAAATTAGCGGACAGCTTGTTATAGCGAGATGAAAATTAACGAAAAAAAAATGAATTACTCTTTTTTTTCTACCAATTTCTTCTACTAAAATAAACTTATTGAAGTTAAGAAAAAATTTAAACTCCGGAGATTAGGTAATCATTTCACCATCTTTTTTGAAAAGCCTGAGCATGTTTGAAGACATTTAGAAATTGACTTCCAATGGTTGCTGTGATACAAAAAGCCTTAAAAAATCTTTAGCAAGGATTTCTTAAGGACAAATGACCCATATAACATAATTTAGCAAAAAATTTAGCATTAAATGCAAAAAGATAATTGGAAAATAATTTTCCAGTAATTTCACTTTTCATTTCAAAACTAAAATTTGAAGTTTTAAACATTATTGAAATTAGGGAAACTAGCATTCAATAGGGATCTGTGCACTAAGGCTGCTGGCGATTCGTCGTTCGTCTTGCATGATTTAAATGCAAATCATTTTGATATCAAATAAAATTCCGTGTTGAAAAAATATTTTTTAATTTATGGACCATAAATTAGTAAATACTTTAATTGAAAACCGGAATCGAATATCTTACCTTGACATTTTTTTCAATCACTTTAAAAGGTTTATTCCGGCCAGAACCTTGACAAGGTCACTGAATAATCATTTCATTTTCTCTTCGAAAGCTTCACCTGAACTTCTGGAACACAATAAAGTAATTAGTTTGAACTTCTTCCAAGATTTTTAAATTCAATATTTTCATGTTGTCACTTTTTGCAGAAAAGTGAAAAAACTTAAATTTCAAAATGTGAGTGAAATTTAAATATTCATAAAGAGAGTGAAATTTTTTCGCACATAATAAAATGAATTTAAATACAACTTATCTATGATAGTTTTTCAGACATATGATTTTTATCACGGGAAAACTCGTGTGTGGAAATTTTTAGCTTCATAATTAAGATTCCAATATAAAATTGAAAAAAATAATATGAAACTAAGCAGAAGCATGCGGTCTGTATTGAATTTGAAAAAGAACATTCACAAGATATTTAACTCCTAAAAATTAAAATTAATTTACGGTCAACAGTTTTTTCAAGACACTCTTACTACAGATAGGACTCTTATTTTACCTTTTTAATTTCAATAATCAGTTGAACATTTATGTCACTTGAATATCGAAATCACTTCTCGTTACACTCAGGAAAAATCTAAAATTCGGAACCCAATTTAAGTTACAATGTTTGTCTGATGTTAAGCAACCGAGAAAGCTCTCAAATATAGATTTTTGTCCGTTGTTTCTAATAAAAGACTTAAATTTTTGGTTTGTGAATAAATTGAAAGCATATTTAACTTTTAGATTTTCTATCCATTTTACAGACATTTCAAAGACTTAAATTAACGAACAAATTCAATTAGCTGATGATAGAAAAGATATAGATGAAAGTAATCATGCATTAAATCAGCAAATTATCATTTACATTAAATGTTTTTTCTAATTTATTTTCATGAAGAACGTAATAACTGAAAGATCGGATTTGAATGTATCAGTAATAGAATAAATGAAATATTTCATTATATAAGTAAACTTGAAGAAAAAACATGAGAAACATTGAAATTTTGAGCAAAAATAAAGATTTGAAAAATTTATTTTCTCATTTTTAGGAAAAAATTAGTTGATAAAATTAATTGAAATGGATAAAAGAAAGTGATAATATTATATTACCGATGCTTTTAATCAGAAATGTTTAAAATTCTGGATGATTTTTTCTGAAAGTACCAAATTGATGGCATCGGAAAAGTATGTCAATCGGAAGTTGAATGATTTGACAATATTACAGGAAGTGCTGCAGCGTGCGTCTCTAAAGTTTGCATTTGCTGTTTCTCGGATAGAACTTTTGAAGGGGTTAGTTTGATCATTTTTCTCGTCGACAATATGTGACATCTTACTATCACAGAATAATAAACTCATATAATTCTTGATCGAACAACATTTCATTTTTATTTTAAATTATTTCCGAATTTTTTATTAAAAAAACTTTTATTTATTTCAAGCTATTTCACCATTTTTAGCATTTTTTGTAAAAAATGATTTGTTAGATGTGTGCAAATTATTTCGCACGCTTTACTCTGTTTTTTCTCTTATGTAAGAAAAACTTTTTGAAAGATTGAAAAACAAGGAAAAACAGAAAATTATTGAAAAACAGAAAATTATCGGAAAATGATTCGAAGCTAAAATCGCATCGAAAATTGGAAATAAACGACAGATAAGCCACGAATATATTTCACTAAACGGATGATGACTTAAACATTTTTAATTACATTTAAGTTAACAAATTAAGTACTCATAGGCAATTAGCAAATAAGGTAATATCTATTATTATGCAAAATAATCCATGCAATCAAGCATGAATACAATCTTATCGTTTTGAATTTTTTACGCAGCCAAAGATAATGTCAGTAATGCTTTAACTTTAGAAATGTCATCAAAAGGTATCAATCAGTTTTTTTGTTCTTATCCAGTAGTTTCTGGAATACTTCAATGAAGATTGCTTTAAAAATAGCATTTTCTCTCCATCTTCAATTGATTAAAAATTGAAGATGAATTGAAAAACAAAGTTCAATTCTGTTTGGATAATGACACACAGTATACATTCATCCCATTTTGCAACACTTCTCAATAAAAGAAGCCAAATATAAATGTACTATTAGCCTGAAATTAAAATGAAAAAGATTTAATCACTTTAAGAAGTTACAGTAATGAGAGAAGAAAGACAAATACAGTAGAGCAATTAAGAAAAACCTAAGTCACACAGGAATGTATTAGTTAGTTGTAGGTAAAATGAAACTTGTATTTGTTAAGTGCAAATTTTAAAAGCAAAATATATTTGCTTTAGCCTTTTTTCCTTCCCCAGAAGAACAAAGATTAAATTTTAATAAAGAGTAGTATGGGAAGAATAATAATTTGACATTCCAATCTTTTTATTAAAAAAGCTCATATGTTGTGAAACCATGCCATTGTTTATTCAGTACTCTTAGCTTAACAAACTTAAAGTTCGAAATTTATAGTTAAAGTTAAAGCAAAAAATCAATGGTCTGAAATCTGAAAGAAATGAAATGAATTGGAAGGCAATAATAAATTAGGAATACATTCAGTAATTTTGCTCTAGTGTATCTTAGCTATGAAAACATGTGGTAAACGGCTAGAAATCTGGATAATCATTTTAAAAAAAATGAAAACGAAGTAAATGAAAAATGTATTGATTAATATAAAATTAATTTCAATTAATTTTTTTTATGTTGCCAAAATCTAGATTTACTTAAAGCAAAAATTTTGTACATGATTGAAAGATTAATATTATATTTTTATTTATCAACTAGATGCTATCAACTTTTTATTATCAAAAAAACTTTTGCTACCTTTGCTTATGTATTTACCATCATTCCAATTCTTATTAATTCCAATTTCCGGTTTGCTTAATTTTGCCAACTGAATAGTCCCGTGTCGTTTCTAGTTTGTGCTAGTTTTATGCATCAAAAAATGCAAAATTAGGTTAATTCAAGTGGCAAAACTGGGATACTTCAACGAAGAGATCAAAGGTCATTTATTGTATAAGAATTTGTGATATTTCCGTGCATGTTTTTGCCATGTTTGAATGACATTTTGAACGTATCAGAAGAAAAAGAAAGGTGAATCGGATGACGATGAAGTTGCCAACAAGTTTTGCATACATTTCTCCTCCTATTATTTCACTCTGCATGCTTCATTCATACTGCATCTCAGAAAACCACTGAAAATGAAGTCGTGAAGAAATTGATATGAACTCTTCTTGACAATAACAGCCACAATGAAAGCACAATTTGTTACTGTTTGTTACTTTTTTGTGTTTAATAAACAAAAGTTTGCTATTTGTCTTGGGTATATAAAGTAAGTTTTACAAATTAACCAATATTTTAATTTCATGGAGGTCAGAAGTGCCGTCTGAAATCATTCCTTCTTTCATACTTCAGGTTAAATTGGCCTTTATAACAATTTATGATCCATTGAAACTTCAAAAATC